ACTCCGTGTTTGTGCAACTAAAGGTCCAGCCTAACTAGAAGAGTTTTAGCTTCCTGTACTCAATTTGCCAAAAGTCTCAATTACATTGACGCAACGTATGTTCTTGGATCAGGCCAGCACTACAGGAAAACCCACAGAGAACACGTTAATGTCACATACATTGTGGCATAGAATAACCGAAAAACTTAATCACTTCCAAGTAGCAATCACAATCATTTTACAGAGTCATACCAACAATATTCCACTTCCTTTCTTTAAAGAAAAGTTATTTAAAATAAAATGTTATGTAATATGGAGGAAGTTCTCAAACAGACTGAAAGCCATCTTCATTGTACCATGCAAATAAAAATTACATTCTGCACAGCATACAATAAACATAGCCTACTAGACCAGATGCAGGCTGTATTCACCAGGCCACACACTTTGTTTTGAGTGTGGTGTTTGGGCACACAAACTGCCGAGACATATGAAACTTTAGGCCAATCCCCATCTGCTGACCTACTACTACACTGACATCTAAGAGAAGGAAAGATAGAGGAAGCTGCACAACAACAGAACCATGTGGTCAAAAGAAAAACACCCTTCTAAAAGAGCATACAAGAACTTCCTGGAATCTAGGTGAACTAAAAAAGCAGAACATAAAAGTGTTAGGCTCCATGTACATTGTAGCTGATAAACTCACGTTTAGGAGCTTTTCTGTTTTTTTTTTTTTTTTTTCAGCAAACCCTGAACTCTCCCTAATGTTTTCCTATGTGTCCATGTACACTATGTCGTTTACAGGCAGTTGAGTTTACAGTCCTTTTTTTGAACGCACCAAACTTGCGTTCAGGAGTAGATTTTATCAGCGTTTCAAATGCGTGTAAATGCGGCTAAACGCGTTTATAAACGTTTGCGTTTGGAAAATGTTTTTAACTCTTCCATTTCCAGATGCTGTCCAGAGCCTTTTTTTTGAAAAATTCAAATCATGACCTGGTACACCATTCTTAGAGGTTTTGCATTAAAGAAAATATGTTAGATACTGCTGCAATGATTTCTGCACAGAAATTAGCTGAAACACATCCAAACACCATGAAAAAAAAAAACAAAAACACAAAAAAACACAGCTAATCTCAACAAAATACTGCTCTCTCTATTTCTCTCAAAATGTCTGAAATAGTTATTTTTTTACTGTTTTCCAGTGCATTCTGAGCATTTTAGAGGGTCTCCTGGGGTTATCTTTAAAAAAACGCTTCTAAACGCAAAAGCTCATAAACACGCATAAATGCGGTATGCACACGTGGCTAAACAGACCTTTTTTAACCTATGTTTTCGGGCAGTCAGTTTCCATCATTCAGAAGTGTCCCGTGTACATGGAGCCTAGAGTGTTAATTTACTTTTAGAAAAAAATATATAAAAAAGGTAAAACCGACACCTTCCCCACCCCCAGTCCCTGATGTACCTGCCTCTGGGGTTGCTGAGTTGTCAGCATCCCACAGCCGGTCCAGAGGTCTGGGGATTTAAAATCTCTAAAATTCTCTGTGCCCAGAGTTCCTAGACAGACTAGATCGATTCTGACTGGTCAGTATAGTCACAGTAGATCGATCTAGACCATCCCAGGAGCAATGTACTGAGAAGAGTGGGAATTTAAAATCACCGGACCACTGGGAAGATTTAAATAGAGTAACAAATTGAAACTAAACTCCAACCAATACTTTATAATCAGTTACAGCAAACTTTTTTCCTTTTGGGATAAATGTTTAACATAAATAAAATTTGATAATTTTAAGCACCCCTGACAGTGTTAAATGGCCTGTGTCATCCATGTAACTGCAAGAGAGCTTACTGGCTGAATTACTAGATGAAAATAGCAGAAAGAAAGCCTAAAAAAGAAAACGAATAAATTCATCACATGTAAGCATTGGTAAGCTGTGATTCAATAAATGTTTGGTTTTGGGTTTAATACTACTTTACTGCACTATTTATTTGGGTATCTATATGGCAAATGAGGTTTAATGATACATGTAAAGTTATGCACTTGGGGATAAAACATGCATGCATCATACTGTACATACTAAAAGGAGTACAAAAGAAAGGAGAGAAGAGAGAGTCCATTACAGAAGACAAGGGGGCACTTTATACATCTGAAAGAAAGGATTTACCCTTCACATTTGAAAAGGCTTATTCACAGTAAGAGCTATTAAAATGTGGAATAGAGTCCCTCAAGAACCATTTCTGGCCAGCTCACTAGATGTTTTAGGATCAGGAGATAATTTTATATCCCCCGTTGCAGCAAATTTCACCACATGCTTCCTAAGTAAATTAAATTTAATATTAGACCACCAAATATTCATGTGATTATTCTTAGTTATCTTACCACATCTTCTATGAAAACACCACAATACTTATTATTCATTATTCACTTTCTATTTTCACACAGACAGCACAACTTTATCACAGAATAAATATTCATGTTAACAAAACAAGGGCTGAACTGACAAACACTCAAAGCGAGTGAAATCAATTGCTCAAAAATTCATTAGGGAAATGAAATAAACTGCAGCCTAACAGAACATGGTATGCTTTTAAGAGAAATCAAATTAGAATTGTTATAGGGCCTCCCATTTAAATGTAATGAAATATGTCCAATCTAATAAAGGTGATCTTGCAGTGCGCAGAAGGCACAGTAGCCCAATGAAATGATTTTGAGGCTGTTCTACAGCAGACTGCCTCTGGCAAGCTATGGTTGGCCGAGCAGACCTTACTGGCACACTGAATAGGAAAATAAGTCCGCATTCTCCATGATTTCAATATTGACTCATTTGTAGAACTGTGACAAAATGCATGTTGAAAAAAGTCCATAGCAATGAGATATTCATGTTCTAGTTATGCAAGCAATTTAACAAATAAAAGAAAAAAGAGAAATTGAAATAAACAAAGTATACTTTTTATGCAACATGCTAAAGTGTGATTAGAATTCAATTACTGTGGATGGGTTCTAACAAGAAGCACGGAGTTTGTTTCTTGTGTGGGTTTTATAGCTATACTTTGGTTTCCTCTCACAGACCAAAAAAAACATGCTGGTTGGTTAATGCCCTCTAAGCTATTGTGTTTGTGTGTGACAGCTGCCTACGCTAGGACACAAACCTCATGTTGATCAAATTCTTTATCAGATCAAGATGACAAAAAACTAAATGTAGTAGTAAGATACTACTGCTTCAGAATTTTAAACTTTTCTCTTTCTGAAAAAAATAACACAGACACTGCATCCTAGTAGACTTCAATGAGCTGTACTTGGGAGGACACTGCAATGCTATACAGGAATCATCACCCTCGTGAGCGAGGCCTAACAGCTCATTAAATGTACTTTTTAAATGCAAGAAGTGCCTAAATATGATCTGGTATCTAGTCTAGTAGTCTAGTGCAGTCCCCGCATAGCAGGGCTGGAGTGTATTAGGAAGGTACAGAACAAAGAACCAACCAGTTCATGTGCTGATAAGAAGCATGCTGACACTGTGCATCTCCTTTCACTCTTCAGTCACAGACTAGAGCAGGTCTAGAATGGCCTGGGCTCAGAAGAATGATGCTGGACATCAGACAGGGGATATGTAGCATCCCCAAAAAATTACTGTGGGGGAGATCTCTGGTTTGAAAGTGTATATTACAGTAAAGGCTAGTTTTGTATTGTATCTTTTAACAGGTCATCCATTTCGATCTAATGATTTTGGGCTGGAGGTGTGTCCTAAATTGATTCTAACCTCCCCCCCCCCCCAAAAAAAAATTTAAACCTTATTAATTACATCTTTTATCTATCCATGGCCTACATGCCATGTGTGTGTGTGTTTTTTTTTTTAATAAGCTGTTGAACAGTATAAGAACCTTTGAGTCAACAGCAGTGGTCATGTATAAAATGATAAAATCATACAATCAATACAATAGGTCACCTCAAGTAAACATTAAAAAGTATTAAGAGGTGTGTCACTGCAGGGGGCAACTGCCCGGAACAGGATGGTGTGCAAAGGACCAGTTCCCTTAGAAAAATAAACATGGTCGCTGATGGTAAGGCACAGCGCCCTCTGTCTGCAGTTTTCTGTGGCATACCGGATGGAGGTATACAGCATGAAAAAGGACAAAGTGGGAATAAAGAAAAGAAAAGGGGGTGAGAAAGAGGGGTAAAGAAAACAGAAAACCGTTGGGGGCAAGGAATAAGGTGGGATTGGGAAATGGGGGAGGCTGTACTCCCTCGGTCAAATACAGCCTCATGTAGCAGCATCACGCTCAAGGAGCTCTTTGTACTTGTCAAACAAGGTAAACTCAGTCTAATAGAAGCAAGCCTCTTGTTTTATAGAGACGAGGTAAGCTCATCTATCTGCATAATGTCTATCTGATGTCAGCCACTGGCCTACAGTAGGGGGCATGGTTGATTTCCAGCGTACTGGGATGCAAGCCCTGGCTGTATTGATCAGATGCAGCACCAAGGAAAGGTGGTGGCATTGCTGTTTAGACAGCATACTAAGATGCATTAAACAAGCAGCTCATCCTGATCCAAAGTCAGGTGTGTAAGATCTAGAATCAGAGCACAGACATCTTGCTAGAAAGGGCATACCAGCAGACCACACCGGAAACCTATACCAGTGGGTTAGCATCTTGTAACCAGATTCTTGTAGCCTGGAAGAGATAGAGGACTTATGCGTGAAATGTAAGATGAACCCCTTCTGTTCAGGAGTAAACTGTTGTGCCAATTCATTCTCCAGTCAAAAAGATAGGCAGGAGTGTAGTCAGCGGTGGGTAACAGAGCAAAGAGTACGCTAGTGGAAGACCTTGTCTGGGGGGGGGAGTATCTGCACAGTAAAGTTCAAAAGATGTAGAGTTGATGAAAGTAACTTGCCAAAGGTGGAGGAAGGAGAGCTAGTGTCTGATTTGGAGCGTCTTCCAGAAGGGCAAGGAGGGATCCAACATCAATTAGATGTTAGACAGATGTGTGCCCTTCGTTTTAAATAAAAAAACTTTCCTTGCTAAAGTATTGGGAAACCCCTCCAAAATCATTGGATTCAGGTGTTCCAATCACCTCTATGGCCACAGGTGTATAAAATCAAGAACCCAGGCATGCAGACTTCTACAAACATTTGTGAAAGAATGGGTCTCTCTCAGGAGCTCAGTGAATTCAAGTGTGGTACCGTGATAGGTTGCCCCCTGTGCAATAAGTCCAAGTGCAATGAAATTTCCCTGCTACTAAATATTCCACGGTCAACTTTTACTGGTGTCTTACAAAGTGGAAGCAACTGGAAACAACAGCAACTCAGCCACAAAGTGGTAGGCCACCTGAATCCAATGATTTGGAGGGGTGTCACAATACATTTGGCAATATAGTGTATATATGTTTTTTTTTCCTTTATAAATATTTTATTGATTTTCAATATATCACATTACACCATTAAATTTCAACAGTGTATGTATATATACATATATATTTTTGATGTGCTCTACCTATACAAGGCAGGGCGGGTAACTTAGTTTAGCACCACTTAAGTAGTATTTACACACAAAGGGAGAAAGCACACACACACAAAAACAAAGAGAAAAAGAGAAAGAGGAAAAAAGGTATACAGACACACTATAAAATATCACTAAAATATCCAGCTCATCTAAATACTAATTTATGCAGGCCATAGATGGGGAGAAAAACGGCAGATTTTTCTTTTAAAAAACGAAATTTTGGTCGTTCAAGCGGCCGACGTTACCATCAATGGTAAAAAAAAAAAATCGGCCGATTTTCATCCCTTCTACAGCCGGCAAAAAGTGTCCCTGCAGAGAGCTCCGCTATTTCTGACAGTTCTCTGACAGTTCCTTCACATTTACAGCGGTTGAAACATTGTATCTATTTGTTTCCATTTAGGATACAGATGTTTTTATTCGGAAACAAATAGATACATTGTTGCAACCGCTGTAAATGTCAAAGAACTGTCAGAGAACTGTCAGAAATAGCGGAGCTCTCTGCAGAGACACTTTTTGCTGGACTGGAATTCTTCTTATTTTCATCCTTCTTCTTCTTCTTCATCCTCATCCTCTTCTTCTTCATCCGCATCCTCTTCTTCTTCATCATCCTCATCCTCTTCTTCTTCTTCATCCTCTTCTTCATCCTCATCCTCTTCTTCTTCATCCTCATCCTCTTCTTCTTCTTCATCCTCTTCATCCTCTTCTTTCTTCTTCATCCTCTTCTTCTTCTTCTACATCCTCGTCCTCTTCTTCTTCTTCCTCATCCTCTTCTTCATCATCCTCATCCTCTTCTTCTCATCATCATCCTCTTCTTCCTCATCTTCATCTTCATTCATCATCCTCATCCTCTTCTTCTTCATCCTCATCCTCTTCTTCTTCATCCTCATCTTCTTCTTCATCCTCATCTTCTTCTTCTTCATCATCCTCATCTTCTTCTTCTTCATCCTCTTCTTCATCCTCTTCTTCTTCATCCTCATCCTCTTCTTCCTCATCCTCTTCTTCATCATCCTCATCCTCTTCTTATTCTTCTTCCTCTTCCTCATCCTCTTCTTCTTCATCCTCTTTTTCTTCTTCATCCTCTTCCTCTTCTTCTTTTTCTTATTTTTGTCTTTATCTTGCAGGTCACTGCTCATGCGCAGATTTTTTATCGGCAAAAAATCGGCCGATTTGCCCACTAATTGCCGCGAAAATCGGCCGATCGGCAAAATCGGCCAATTTTTTTCCAACTTTACAGAAAAAAAAAACGGCCAAAATACCGAAAAACGGCCAACCAAATAGCCCACTAACGATCCGAAAATAGGCCGATTTTATTTTCGGCCGAAAAATCGGCCGATTTTCGACCCATCTATGGCCTGCATAACTGTACAATTGTATTCAGCATAAAATGAAATAACGTAAATATCTTTATATTACAGTTTATGAAGAAAAACAAGTTAGCCTGTTAAGTAAATGAATAACTTTTACTAACAGTGAGGAAATGAAATGTGCAGTCAAGTGTACAGAAACATGTCTCGCCCACCTTATTTCAAATGGATAAACCAAAAAAGCAAGGCAGGCAGGAAACATGGGCAATAGAAACTCAGCTCTACAGCCTACTTGTAAAGCTTTAAGTGCTAAAGGAAATGATATGCTTAAGGCATTCAATGCCAGGTAGGTCTGTAATTCTTACTAACTTGAAAACTCATGTCGCACTCAGAGTAACGAATTATAAGAATATCAGATGACAGTCAGTTGAAGGGTGCACAAAATGTACCAAACCAATATGCTGTTTAGTAATAGTTGCTGACAGACTGTCACATTATGTCTTTTTTATAATGTCTTAACTTTCATGCAACATTCTAATCACTTCTGTTAGATTTCCTTTTTTAACCTCATGTTGAATGGCTTGAAGAAGAAAAAATAATATTTATAACTTAGTTACTCAACTTTACAAAATATACATTTAGGAGCATAAAAAAGATGTAATTTTGGGCATGTTAAGCCCCCAAAATGGCAATGCTCCCCATTATGGCTATCACAAAGTATTATGCATTATGCACACTAGATGTTTTTCCAGTGTGCTCCTAGGGGCATCTGGCTAGCCTATGGGGTTGATTTACTAAACCTGGAGAGTTCAAAATCTGGTGCAGCTGTGCATGGTAGCCAATCAGTTTCTAACTGCAGCTTGTTCCATTAAGCGTTGACAAAAAAAAAAAACCTAGAAGCTGATTGGTTTCTATGCAGAGCTGCACCAGATTTTGCACTCTCCAGTTTTAGTAAATCTCACGCAGGCTTTTAGAGGAGTTTAGAGGAAGAATAAAAAAAACTCACTTCCAAATGAAGTATCATTTGTGGGTGCCCAATTAATTTCACATACTGTCTGTATACCAATAGCTAGGGATGCACCAATGCCGATTTTGACTATTTTTACTTGTACTCATGAAAATGCTCCCGAAACCGATAGTTTGCTGTGCGATTTGCGTTCCTACAAAATGAATGGGCACAAATCGCACTGCAAAGAATAGCATGGAATTTGAACAGGAATGCGGTGCGATTTTTGTCTAAATTGCATGCGGTTTCTCCACTGCTCCTGTTCATTTGATATCCCTGCAGCTTTCTATCCTTTCCTTGCAGCAGGCTAGACAGCTTCTGATTGGTCAGCACTGTCAAAGTGCTGACCAATCAGAAGCCGTCTAGCCCGTACTGTCTTCCCTCCCGCAGCACTCCTGTGTGAACTCAAGCTATGACAAGTCTGGGTTCACACAGGAGCGGTGGGTAAACCGTGTGATGTTCTTTTGCAGAGCGATATACGCCCATTCATTTTGTATGGACACAAATCAAACCAAAAAGTATTAGTACTCGGTATTGGTGAGTGCTTGACCAAAAGTATCGGTACTCCTACTCGCCAATAAAAAAAGGGTATCAGTGCATCCCTACTATTAGTCATTTCAAGCTGCATGTAGGCTGGGCTGTATTTACAATAATAGCACTTATTGGCCAGTACCTATGGATGAGGATAAGAAGGCAGCACCAAGCTTCCAAATGTACAAATTTCAACTTATACTTAATTTTGTTCCCATCATTTGTCAGCCTCTGGACATTTATGACAAAATTCAGCAAGAAAACTGTAGTGGAAAAGGGGGTACAGAGGATTTTGAGGGGAGTCCGAATAGTTTAGAAAATATCAAACTATTCTCTTTTCTCTTGTTTGGTATTAAAGTCATTATAAACCTTCTTACCTGCACCTTGTATTTTTCACCTGGGTAAAATGTACATTCATCATGTAGTTTCATTATGTAATTTTCTGGCCTGTACGCAGTCTCTAGTATAGTAAAATCTTCACATTTCAGTGTTACAAGTTTCTGTTTGTGTTCAAATACAAGGCATGTGGCATGGCACTGCACGACCTCTATCTGTAGTCTAAGAACTGACACTTCCTATAAAGAAACTATATATTCCACAATCCCTGGGTCTCTCGGTCCAGTGATCTGCAGAAGAAAGTCAAATAGTAATCAGATCTGACACAGGCAGAGCAATCAATAGACAGCTCCCTCATTTGTAAAAATAAATATAACACCATGTACCTCCAACAGCATATTCTAGTAGAATTTTTTTAACTAAAATAACCCCAACCCAGAGAGACAGAGCTTTATATATATATATATATATATATATATATATATATATATATATATATATATATACACACACACACAGTTGTGTTCAAAATATTAGCAGTCAGACATCACTAACCTGATCAATCACTGTTTTTGGTAGAAGTGATATTTCTGCATGGCAAATAATTTACTAGCAGGTGTAGTAGAGTAATAGAAATCCAACAGACCCAACAGTCATGACATGCATGCTGCTGATTCTGTGTAATTGAGTTCTATTAGTGAGGTCATTCATTCTTTGAAAAACAGGTGGCAATTATTGCCCTTATTTAAGGAATGAAGGCAGCAAATGTTGTACATGTTGGTTACAGTGCATTTCTCTCTGAAATTCTGAGGAAAATGGGTCGTTCCAGACATTGTTCAGAAGAACAGCGTACCTTGATTAAAAAGTTGATTGGAGAGGGGAAAACATATAAAGAAGTGCAGAAAATGATAGGCTGCTCAGCTAAAATGATCACAAATGCTTTAAAATGGCAACCAAAACCTGAAAGACGTGGAAGAAAGCGAAAAAAACTACCATTCGAATGGATAGAAGAATAGCCAAAATGGCAAGGACTCAGCCAACAATCAGCTCCAGGAAGATCAAAGAAGGTCTAAAGTTACCTGTGAGTACTGTTACAATTAGAAGACGCCTATGTGAAGCCAAGCTATCTGCAAGAAGCCCCCGCAATGTCCCACTGTTGAAAAAAAAGACGTGCTGAAGAGGTTACAATTTGCCAAAGAGCACATTGACTGGCCTAAAGAGAAATGGCGCAACATTTTGTGGACTGATGAAAGTAAGATTGTTCTTTTTGGGTCTAGTGGCCGGAAACAGTTTGTCAGACGACCCCCAAACACTGAATTTAAGCCACAGTACACTGTGAAGACAGTGAAGCATGGCTATGCAAGCATCATGATATGGGCATGTTTCTCATACTACGGTGTTGGGCCTATTTATGGCATACCAGGGATCATGGATCAGTGTGAATACATCAGAATAATTGAAGAGGTCATGCTGCCTTATGTTGAAGAGGAAATGCCCTTGAAATGGGTGTTCCAACAAGA